TGTAGAGAGACGGGACCGTCATTTAAAGTGGTCATTCGAGCCACTTGAAAGTCGACCATTTGCAGATGTAATTACAAAGGCAGCACCTTCTCCTCAGTAATTCATTTAAGGCCCTGAGTGCATGTTGGTCTGGCCGAGGCTTGACCTCCCGCACAACAGACCGATGCTATACCAACTGGATTGCGGTTAATACGTCAATACGTCAATGTAGCTCGTGCGTTTATTACTTACTTGCAAATAAAAGGTGAACAGRATTCCATCAAGATTCTCTTCTCAGAATACACGTGTTCTTGTTGTTTGGTTTCCAAGATGTGYTTCTTCTTCAAACATTTTAATGCATAAGTGCTCTTGTCTTTTACATTTTGAACCTAAGTGTAAGATTAAAGAAAATATTTTCAACCGAGAAAATGTCCATATTTTAGCAGTTCTCAAAACCAGCCACCTTCACATCGAAATGTGTCGGTTTGACGACGTACAGAACCCGTGCATAGAAGTATGCAAATACATTAAATGTGGTCATACTTTTGCGCGTCGCGCTTTAAATAGCATGCGGCCTTTCTGAGCTCAACAAACATGCAAAGTGTATTCTGCACGGTGTTCCATTGACACAAACAATACAATGAACCACGATAGACCAGCCAGAGTTCAGCACGTTAAAATTCTAAGAAAGGGCATACAGATAMACTCGAACTGACGTAAAAAACATCACACGCACCAGTTCCACTCGTCCAAATCCGCCCGTTCCCAATGTAGAAATAACTTCCAGGTCTTCTAGCGTCAGGTCTTCAATTTTCTTGGATATTTTTCTTTCTTCGACGGGTTTGAGTCCATTCGAATCGCGTAGGTCTGCGTACCTGGAACATAAAATATTTAAAAACATTTTAAAACTATAGAGTGTCTGCACATATCCTCTTCAGTCCGATCTCCATAGATATAAGTTGCTTGAGAGCAAACCATTGTCTTATATACTGTTTTGAACAGTCTGCTTTACTATAACAGGAGGAAATGAGCAAAAATATATTAGAAAACTCCTGTACGCTCTCTTGCCTAATCAAAGTCAGGTCACAGAGCGAATTGAAATTGAGCTTGTTGAGTTTTACGGAAGAAAAAAACCCGGAAAGCCCGACAAAAAACCTTGAATTAATAGAGATACAGAGACATACTATTCTCTTAAGCAGTCGCTATTAGTGTCGTCACGCAACGCTCACTTCCTTAAGGTAGCTACGTAGGGGAGTTAGCGTTGCGTGACGACACTAATAGGGGCTGCATGCGTGAGATATTTAATCAACTCTATTTAAATGTGAGTCCAAGGATCGAGCTCGAGACCCCAGAGTCGAGGCGTGCGTACTACTGCTACACCAACCATTGATTCAATATTGTGTTCTTACCTTTTAGCGCCGCGTTCTTCGTCCCCATAATTTCTTTCCCTCAATTCATTCAGGTTACCAATGAGTGTTTTAAAGGCTCTAAAACAACAGAAAATTATCTGACAGTTATACAGACAATYATATTATAGCTCTTCCGATGTTGGGGRAAAACTGGGTCCAGTTGSCATTGCAATGCATTTTGGGGCTGTTTTAGGGCGGACGAAATAGACGCCAWCTTGGAAACCAAGATGTCCCTTAAAGCAGCACAAAAATSCATKACAATAGGCCATTTCACGGATCCCGTTAYTCAACCTCAACTTCGTCAGCGTGTAATTATTCTTTAGAATTTGACTACAGTCCGCAGTAATGAAAGGAATTTGCACATCAACGAACAATTGAAACACTTAAAAATTTCACAGGTTGTAGGAAATTTCTAAAGAATATATTACATGCTGACGAGGATGAGGTTGAGCCGCGGGATCTGTGAAATGGTCTATGCCTACTCMACCCAGTGTTTTCCTCGTTCTCTGAATGGCTAATAAGAAACGTTGTTGACTYACGTGCGATCAATCACTAAACATTCTACTTCGGCCGCTTCGGAAATAACGTTGGCTGTGCGYCTATCTTCACTGAAATAAAACAAAAAAGACTTCATGTTAAGAAAACAGTATAGATGGTTTAAGCTAGTGTATTAGGCCGGGTTTTATCACCACATGGCCGTAAGCAGGACTRAATGCTTTCATGAGACACTAATGGTTCATATATTGATTCTTAGGATTCACCGGCAAACGATCAAGCAGAAAGGGATGGATAATAGCGCAACCAGCACGACGTCATTGACACTTTATTCCATTGTTTGAGTTGCGGGCATTAATTTCTGCTCGTTATGAGCTGAAGCTTTGCCTTCTAATAATAATGAGGTACCCTTTTCATTTCTTGTAATCATTTTTACACAACTGATCGTTTTAAGGGAGGTAGGGTCACGTGTGCAGAAACCAATACTCCAGCTTCGAGTTCTCTGTTGCCCATGTTTAACCTCATAGACTATCAACTTTGCGCAGGATATTCATGTGTTCCAGTGAAGGTCCGTGAAATTTCAAAGTGTTCTTAATTGATTGTTGAAGTTGTGAATTCTTTATTTTACCATTGGTATTTGTCAGTGATTAGACATAGATTGGGATCTTACTCTGAGTAATTGAGTCTGTAAACAACAAACGCAGCGGTAATTTGGAACTTGAAACAGGTCTATTTCCCCCGGTGGAATTTGAAACACTATTTTGTGCTTTTCCTCACTAAAATTTAAACACTAATAATAACTTTAAAAGGCGCGCAGAAACAAAAATGGTAGGAAAAATTCTGCTCATTCTTATTGCTGTCTTCATAATTGAAAAGCGCAATTCACACTAACTTGGACCGTGTACTAAAGTGAGGGTCAATTTRAAGGCGATGTATTCTGGACGAATCCCTGACATGAATGACGTGTATTTGAGGAATATAAAACGCGCGCATGTCTCTGTACTGTGATATAAACACACTGTAGAGCAAGAGAAAAGCACTGAGATTAGGAACACGAGGCGTAGGGAAGTGTTTTTCTTGCTTTTCTAGTGCTCTACTACATCTCCCAGAGTGTTTATGTCACAGTACAGAGACAGAAGCAGCCTTTTAAAATTGCTTTTACAGAATGCTTTTGAATAAAAATTTCGCGATCGTGTCTCTGTCATCTGATATAGACACGGTAGCCAGCCAATCAGCGCGCRCATTACATCAAAAATATCTTATATTGCACGATAAGTGTAATTGATTATTTGTGCGGATCAAACAATAATTAAACCATTATATCCAAAATGGTTCATTTTACAAAAGAAATRGTTTCTCGCCTTTGCATTTTGCTCAAGACTTCTTGGTCGATAGCACCCCCGTACGACAAGACTGCGTCACAGTAATCCGTTGTTGGCCTGATATCGAAAGGATGTACACCAAATGGRCTCATCAGTTAATTCAACAATGCAAGTGCCAAGCTAGACGATATCATCTTTGCGCAACATGACTTAACTGTCCTTGCCATGCTACGATCCTGACAAACAATCCCAACATATGACCCAACATTTGACCGAAAAATGCATTTTGACCAAAAATTTGACCCAACATTTGACCCAACATTTGACCCAACCAAGACAAACCGTTCAAAAAATTTGACCTATCAAATGTTAGATAAATATTGGGACCGTTTGTGAGGGCCGATTTTCCTCGATTTTTCCTGTAACGTGACGTYACTTGACGCTATTGAATCTTACCTAAGAAGGGCTTTTTCACCAAAATAGTYGCCCTTCTTCAACTTTCTAATCTCTTTGGGCTGATCATGGCCTTCGATTCGCTGCGTCACCCTGGCCTATTATAACATATGGTTTAAAGTTAGTAGCAAATATCTCTCTTCTTTTCGAACTTGCTAACAGGCGCGTAGCACGTAAACTACTAGGGTTCTCCACCTTATCTGCGCGCAAACAATCGACAATCGATGAATCAAACTGGACATGAACTCATTACAATCAAGCCAACGATGCCTAAAAGACAGATGCTATCATAAAAGTTTACTTTCTGAACCGTTTAGGGTTCTCCACYTTTACGGCAAGCAATGAATCGACAATCGAGAAACCCAGTTGGTTAGTAGCAGTCTAACACATAAACCAGGTAAGGCTTCTCCACCCTTACTTTGTACAATTCATGCAAGCGACCAACGCGAGGAAATGAGTCTCAACAGACACGTAACACATAAAACAAAAACGGCTTCTCCACCTTGGCCGCGCTTAAATAACCAAACTAACGATCATCAAGCAATTAGGCACACAATGTGTAAAACAATCGGTTCTCCATCATCCACGTAGGGTTTTGCTCTATAACGACGTACATACATATTTAAGAAGTATCATCATCRTTATTGAAAAAAAAGTTAACACAATAAAACTGAAATTATAGTTAGAATTAAAAGTTCACCTACGTAGATAGCTAGAATATTACTACCTTTTTTTCAGTTAACCYGGTTCTATGACCTTAAAACCCATTTTTCAGTAATTAGGTTTGGAACGCGATTGATCGTGTTTATGACTTACCGTGCCTTTGCTAATGATGTAGAAAGTGTCTCCTCGTTCGCCTTCACGGATAATATAATCCCCAGCATGATAAAAGTCCTACAAAAATAGCCAAGTTTATAGTTATTTCTCATTCATAAAAAGTCTGCCTATCACCACGTATTCACGGTAAAGACGTCTAATGCCGTGACCTTGACGTTGGCACGTTCGAGCATTTTGAYTGGATGTGCGACGTCAAAACAGCTCAATTTGGAAGACAAAACAAGAGGATTTCAATTTTATGAAAATTGAAAATCTCTTGTTATGTTCTCCAAATTGGGCTGCATTCCAACGTGCTGCAAGGGGACTATTCCGTTCCGTGACGATCTAAATTATTCATCTTAACATTGGTTTTCATTTCAGGCTACGTATCATTCTCTTGAGAAAAAGATTCTTTGTTTGAGTTGCATCTATATTCATGTCTCTTCTCATGCGCAACCGTTAAACAAAGAAATGATACTCTAGGGAATGACACGTGGTCTGAAATGGGAAAACATTACGCCCAAGGTAAAGAGGTCTATTGSTCTATCTATMTATACACTMACCACTTCAAGGACATCTGCAAGCTTGGACAGATGCTGGCTGGGCAAATTCTTTAACAAAGGAACACTTAAAGAAACAAAAAAGAACAAGAACTATTAGAGCTAAATAAAACTAAATGTTTCCTTTTATTCCAATCGTTAACCGCCACTACTGCTAAGCAAAGAAATGATACTCTAGGGAATGACCCGTGCTCWGAAATGGGAWAACATTCCTCACAAAGTAAGGAGGCTTGGACTGTTTGATGCGCGGCTAAATCCATTTTTTTCGCATGTTTTTATTTGGAAAAGGTACGTTTTCTCCAGATTTTGATGTTTTTAGCCCACACACAAACGCGCTAAAATCTAACTTTTGGAGCTGAGACGAAACAAAACTTAACAATACGCGCTTACCTTTTAAGAAAAGAAATATGTTCAGCTTGTCTTATCATTCCTGTCCTCATCATAATCATCTGAAACATCTTTCTATCAGTCTTCCACAGTGTAGTCGCTTCAATGGCTGGTAAATCAGTMAAGAAATGACTTAACTCATGCTTCCGACTCCCCTTAGTTACCGCTGCTATGTCCCACAAGCATAACAAATTATCTAGAATATCTCAGATTTTAAAACTCTGATCGCGTAAAATAATCATATATTTCTTCAACGTTTCATGTTCTGGGAAAATAAATCCGAATTGCCTCGTAGTCCTTGTAGTACTCTTTAGAACTGATACTGTGTAGTTGTTTGTGGGACAAGATTTTAATTCCACTGGGAAAACTGCTGCAACGGTGATAGGTTCGCTATTGTTTGATTCGGAACCACGAACTTGAGCCTTTTCGATGTTGCGCGGAAAACGTGTATAATTACTGATCTTATCAAAATCCATTSTTTTCAGTCTGCATTATCCCAACGAATGCATAGAGGAAAATCAGACATATTTAGTTCATTCATTATTGGCTATGATAAACAAGCTAGAAAGAAAACAATTGGATTTTTATAAGAACAATAATTATACTAGATAATCACTTCGGGCTACGCCCTCAGCTGCCTGCATTATACCTACGAATGCTGCGTGCCTCAGTAATTATCTATTAAATAACGTGTAGGTAGCGCGCCTACCGCACACAGCATATGATCGAAAACTAGTCTTATGGAGTCTTATGATGATCGTAGTTAAATATTAATRACATAAATACCTCTTACGGTTGCAGTTCTACGGCAGTTGTACAGGATKGCAAGCTCTCCGAAGACCATTCCACCGCACATCTCGCCCAGGACCTCCCCGTCCTTAGTGACGTCAAGACGTCCCTCTGAAGAAACAAGAATCAGAGTTACTTGAATTCTCACCTCTCCCTTGTCACATAATTGTGATGACATGCATTCTACTATCTCTCCTGACTCTAATACCCCTCCCCTCCCCTCTGGGACATGTACTTACCCGCTATGACGTAGAGAGCATTGCCAGCATCGCCTTCTCGGATGATCACCTCTTCCTTGTCACATGATTGTGATGACATGCATTCTACTATCTCTCCTGACTCTATTCACCCCTCCCCTCCCCCCTGGGACATGTACTTACCCGCTATGACGTAGAGAGCGTTGCCAGCATCGCCTTCTCGGATGATCACCTCTTCCTTGTCACACGACTGTGGTGACATGCATTCTACTATCTCTCTTACTTGGGCCGCCTCTAAGTTTTTTAGAAAGTCGTTTTCATAGATGGCGTCCTTGATCAACTGTTTTGATCTGTGAAAAGATTAGAATGTTAGATAATATGATAATGGTTAACACCAAAAAAAAAAACAAAACAAAAACAAAACAAAACAAAACAAAAACAAAAACAAAAACAAAAAAAAACTGACAATAGCACTTATACAAATGATATCTGGCTCTACAAATCACTCCAGCTTCTCTTACACAACTGAGAAGTATTGACAGTTTATAAGTCAATGTGTTTACATAAGGTTGAGATATCTCAAGTGGTTAAGGTAGTTGAGTTACGATATTAAGGACTTACCCAATATCAACCCGCCAAAAAAAAAAAGTAAAATCGCGAATTCCTTTACATGAAAAACTAATTATCGCATTCAAGCCGAATTAATTACGAATGAAATTTTCCTAAACGTGCGAATTAAAACTGAAWTTATCCTAATCCCGTTGATATTGAATTTTGACCTCTGTTCTTATTTACATTCTTCGTGCAGCATAGTAATTCTTAGTAGTTATTGGTCTTTCCCATAGTTTTCTTAGAAAAGATTTAACACAGAATGTCTAGAATGGAACAATTATCAGCGAAAAAAAACTTTTTTCGGGAAAAATTYATTAACGTTTTTAGTATCTGGCGTRYTTTATGGCTTTGCTCGATAAAGTTCGAGTACGAGACGAAAATTTATTTTGTAGTTTCTAAGTTTTAGGTAATTAAACTTSAAAATTCATGTTTGGTTAATTTAATTATCGACAGTACTATACAGTACGCTACTAGATGAAGAGGCGCTCAAGATTTCCGACTCTGAATTATATTTCATTCACGAATTCAAAAGCTTTCAAACTAAAATAAACAATTCAAATTACTCTTGTATGATTATGTAACCATTACCTGAAATCTTTTGGATAGCGAACTAGTTCTTTTTTCGATTCTTCTTGAGTCTTGGTGCTGCTTTCCCCGCTAACTGCTTGTCGCTTCTCCTTACGACTCGAGCGAACTTTTCTCGACTTGTTGTTGGCATTTGGTGTGGATGCCATTCCAGAACCCTCGTTTATAGTCGACATCACACTCATTTTACTCGCTAGCGCTGCCTGTTGATTCACAACGCATTTCAGTTCATGAATCTCTTTTTTTAACTTCGCAATCTCGACGTCTTTCTCGTCTATCGTTTTCATTCGGTGTTTGAGTTCGGCATCTTTTCTCTGCAAAAGTTCGTCTTTTTCCTTCAGTTCTTTCCTCAAGGAAGGAAGTTGACTCTTGAAATTATTGAGGTTTTCACTCGGTTTATCAATTTCCCCGTTAATAATCGTAGTTCCAGCGTTGCTTGCCCCGTTCCCCATAGTTTCACTTATCAGCGTAAACTTTCATGTTATTATAGCACGCACTCTTTCGTCTTTTTTTGCTAAAGGCACCGCTCAATATGCGTCATTCTTTYATCAAAACTCGCTTGAGCACTTGTAAGACTTCTGAGTGAATTAACCGGTCCAACAGCGTTGTTTGATTACAGTATTGRGCTGTTAATCTTTAACTACGAATGCAAGTATCCCCGAGATTTAGAGAGAGAGAGAGAGAGATTGTTTTTCATTCAGATTGGAAGAGCAAGCACAAAAATAAAGTTTTCTAAAATTTGCTTTTTGATGTCAAAAAAGAAAACTGAATAAATTGGCTACTTTTTCTTAAATCTCTTAAATCTTTTTATTTCTCCGGTTACAAAAGCAAAAACAAAACAAAAAAACAGACCACCAACACCACCACCACTACCAACAACCCAAAAAATTATAGTTACCACGACCAATGTAATTTGTACGTTAAAAAAACCCGACGACCAAATGAGAAATGAAAAAAAACCCTAAAATTCAGCTTATTTACCTATAACTATTTATTATTATAAATTACCTAGTTTTGACAAACTCAAGTGAAATATTTTATTTTATCCCTAACTTYACGAGTAACTATTTTATAGCCCGTAAATAACATCATAAAGGATAWATTAAGGACATAGAAGCTAAAACCAAAAGTTATTCATTCGTTAACAGCCTCCATAACGTTCTGTCAGTGCAACAATCTATGAAAATTAAACGAGTTGTATCACTTTAACAAATTGATATCAGTTTTTTATGTGTCTGTCCTCTTATTGACGATAAATTGCGTCATCACATTGTCAAAGTAGTGTGGATCCACGAGGCGTCAATCAAGGCGTTTCCATGACATTCTATAGGCAC